CAAAACTGAGTTGAAGACTCGACGTGTGACATGGTCTCTACTACACTCGCCAAACCGACAAAAAACCAATATCTAAGTCTCATCGCTTCTATCCCACGACTGATAAGAATCTGAACTTTTCTCCCTCGAACTTAGGAGACTAGAAAGATGTTACTCAGTCGTAGTAAATGACAACATAAGTCCTCAACCGATCATCCCTGAAAAAAGTTGTAATCCTCCCATCGAACCTCACGATCACTTTCTCCTTGGGTCTCGTGACTTATATTGCTACTACCTCGACTAGGTCCACACGACCACTTACTAGAATGAATCGTGCACGCCTGCACTACATAGACCTAAACCATCAGTGCCACTTAGGTCTGAACCAGATTTAGAATCATCCTCATCTAGAAAAACCATAACCATACTTTTGATAGAGATGGAAATATGCTACAAACGAATCATAAAGTCATACTATATTGTCTACCATTTACCAGTTCCTCAGTAATCTTCTCGACACCTCTTAATCCCCGTATGGATCCCTGTGCTTTCAGTAGTACGAGCTCATACTACATTCCAAACCTATCCATACTCGTCCCAAGAATTGTCTCAAGGTTCCCAAGTCGCTACTCCCTACCAATACATAACATTCTAATTACATATACATGTGCTCAGACGAGCATAAATCACTTACCTTCCTAGACTCTCGTTCAAGGATTCTTCTAATCATATATTCTGCTTCACCCTGTTATCCCATTGAGAAGAAACTTCTATCAATATCAATTAACTATCTTATGAATACTAACTACATGCATCTAGAACTAAGCAGTCTCTCGAATGAGAGATCCTACACTACATCAATTGGACTCAAACAAGAGCTGCGCAATAGAGAAAACAAAGCTTTCAAAGACTATTGAATTCTAGGGGCATGTAATCCTAACATATTCCTTTACCAATTAATTAATATCGATATAGATTTCAAGCAAATCAACAGTCAAGGAACTAATATAACAGACAATTCTAACATACAAACCCTAAAAGGATCTTCAGCCTATCCACTAGCATGCATAATAATGATAGGAAAACTAAAAGCGACCTAGGTGGAACAAATCATATCATGTCATATAAGAAAATTTTGATTGCATATAATCATCACATAAAGCACATAAGTCAATTTCATCACATAAATAATCCTAATCTTTTCATAATAATAATTAACTAACCAGGAAGCTTGGATCACATGACTTTTTGCATTCTCTTCTCCGAGGCATATCGCATTTTTCTTCACTTATATTTTTGAAATTGGTTCCTTTACTTAGTTTTACTTATATAAACAACTCTTTTCAGAAAATTTGAAGTGGTTTGAGTGTAAACACACTAAGAGTATGTTTAATTCTCCCAAACCATTGCTCTGATACCAACTTGTAACATCCAAAAAAATCGACCATATATTTTTTTTTGAAAATCAGAGTGTATGTTTTACCATAAGGTTTTATCCATAACCATTAACAAATCATAAGGTTATATTTTTCACGTCATATCAACGGAAACATAATAAAATTTCGGCATCATGTTTTGAAAACCATAACGTAAAAAGAACGTATAACTAGATGGAATGCCCTTCCGAGAATGTCCAGATATCCCAATCATGTCGGCTCCTTACCCTTTGAGCTTGAAGCACATGCAAATAAAAACATAAAGTAGCAACTATAAGCCTAAGGCTTAGTGAATAATCATAACACTCACCTATTATATAGATCATATGGAATACACATAATGACACGTAATAACATATACGTCAAGTAATAAGGCACTTGTTACTTACATTTTATCACATATAACTAAACAATATAAATGCTAGCATTCTGATCACTGGTCACAACTTGGTTCCCTCATTTAAAATGCTTTTCTCTAGTTTTCTTGCATAGACCACATTCCTCAAAGAGGCTTCGCGTGGTCGACCATCAGTACATGGCCACCCAGATTGAACAACAAGATTCCCCTTCTGTGAGACTTTTCTTTAGTTGTCCAATCCATAACCACTTCCTTTACCTAAGATGATTTTTGTGGTTTCACATAACATAATCACATAGTCCATATAATAAGTAAAGTCCTAAGAACTCACCTAAAATGGCAATCGCATAATAAAACCACTGAAGTGGCTAAGATGGATTCCTAACTCTCTGAATACCTACCACCATATTAGTAACCTTTACTCAGCTCATGCCTCATATCACAATTATTACTTATTAATATCTTATAATATATTTTTTATTCGCATTTCTTATCATGAAATGAATGATTAACTCCTAAATTCATTCTCGTTAAAGTACTATACTTAATTATCGTTTGCTTCTTTTAACCATACAATATTATAACGTTTAACCTTAAAATCCATACAACTTTAGTAATCAAAGGTATAATGACTTAAAAGGGTAATGTATTTTTTCGATTTGTATACATTTGGTCATTGAGTTTTTTTTCGTCCACATTTACCCCTTCAACTTGTTAGGCTGTATACATTCAGTCCTTATGACCGGTTACTCCAGGTTAGCCGGGAAAAATGACTTAATAGGGTAATATATTTTTCATTTTGTACACATTTAGTCCTTAATATTTTTGTACATATTTAGTCCTTAACATTTTTTTTGTTTCAAAATAAGTTTTTTTTTGTACTCATTCAGTACTTATGAATGATTTCTTTTGGTTTTCTCACGACATCTTACGTAAGACAATCATTGATAAGGTGTTTAGGGTTGTTGATGCGTATGTCTAACGTGATCTTGACTACTTGGTTGCGTAGGTCTTGTGGTTTGGCTTAGGTCTTGTATTCTGAACGTCGTAACTTCTTCATACGATATCATATTTTAACGATTTTTATATCCACGTGTTCATTTTTTCATTAAGATTACTCTCGTTAAAATGTAATATATATTTACTTATGATTTTATAAAAAAAAAACATTCATACATGCATTCATAAAAAAACGTATGGACAGGGGCGGACGCAAGAATACATAGTAGCTGTTGCCGAGATGAAATAGGTGTTGCTGATATATGAAAAATAGGTATAAACGAAAAAAAATCGAAATTTTTTCCTCTGTGGACAGAAAAAATAGGTGTTGTCGGTGCAACATCGGGACCAAGCTAAATCCGCCACTGCTATAGATATATAAAAATCGTAAGTAAAATATATTAATTTTTAATGGGAGTAGTCTAAATGAAAGTTGTAGTAGACTAAAATACGAACGCATGGATATAAAGATTGTTCGCATGGATATAAAGATTGTTAAAATCCGAGATCGTATAAAGAAGTTATGACGTTCAGAGCACATGACCTAAACAACCAAGTAGTCGAGATTGCGATGGACATAAACATCAAAAGGCCCAAACACGTGATTAATAAATGTCTCACGTACGATTTCGTGAGAAAAACCTAAAAAAATTATTCAGAAGTATTGAATGAGTACAAAAACAAAAAATGACTTATTTTGCAAAAAAAAATATGAATGACTAAATTTGTACAAAAATATTAAGGACTAAATGTGTATAGAGTGAGAAATATATTACCCTATTAAGTCATTTTTACCGACTAACCTGGAGTAACCGGTCATAACTGAATGTGTACAGTTTAACAAGTTGAAGGAATAAATGTGAACGAAAAAAAAACTCAGTGACCAAATGTTTACAAATTGAAAAATACATTACGCTTGTAAGTCATTGTCCCTCAAATTAATTTATAATGATAGAAATGTTTGAGCCCTTTTTTAATCTATATAACAAATAATTTTTAGCTTCCTAAAGTTGATAGTCTCATAATCTAATGATATGTACTTTTATTTTAATGAAAGCCGATCCGACCTCGTAATTACTAATTAAGTTATCGTAGGCATTTCTTTTTCCAATTCATTTATTATATATATTTGTTGAATTAAGTCAATTAACTATCATCACATTTTAAACATTTTAGAAAAATAAATTGTGTTAATTAACTTCGTTTCGTTAAACCCAAAAGATAAGCCCATGAAGCCAATAAATACCAAAGCCTAATTTAAAGAGATTATTCGGCCAATGACCAAAATGTAGGGTGAATTTGAAGAAAATGACCACTAAAATGAAGATTTCAGAAAATGACCACAGGTTCCGCAGAGGGGGTTCTGCGGAACCATAAACACCTCTGCGGAATGTGAACACCTCTGCGGATCTTGTTTTTTTTTTCATTTTTTATTTCGTTTTTTCGTTTTTTTTCGTTTATTAATATTAGTTTTTTTAATCACATAAGGTATTATGTGATTATTATGTAAAAAAAATTTGTTTTCGTTTTTCCTTTTTTTTTTATTTAATTACCCGTTTATGAAAGCTGTGTGTTTAATAAAAATTATACAAATATTCTATGTTTTTTATAAAATTACACACACCGGTATTCTGAATAATAAACATACTTTAAGTAGGTTACAAAACATACTTTAGAAAACATAAACATACAACCTTCATAATAAACATACTTTGAAATAAACTTCATTAAAGTCTCTGCAGATCCTCTACAACTCTGCGGAATCTTTGTTTTTTGATTTTTTTAATTTTTTTTTCGTTTTTTTTTTGCGTTCATTTTCGTTTATTAGTATTAATTTTTTTTAAATATACTAATACCTTATGTGATTGTTATGTAAAAAATTTGACAAAAAAAAGTTAAAAATAATGAAATGTTTTATGTAATACGTTTGCTACTGATGTATGTTTTCCATGTATTTTTACTGTTTTGTATTTTATGTTCTATGGAATAAAGTAGAAATTAACTCAACTGGTTTCGTAAATAACCAAATACATATAAATAACGTAATACAAACCGGTGCATATAAATAACCTAATTAAAATTATACAAATATTCCATGTTTTTTATAGGTTACAAAACATACTTTAGAAAACATAAACATACAACATTCATAATAAACATACTATGAAATAAACTTCATTCATTCAAATCGAACCACGAAAACTTTGATTTGTTTTCGTATTCCGTCCATGGGTTTTCTGTTGCTTGTGTCCCTAGGTTTACTGTCGCTTGCGTCCATTGGTTATCTGGCTGTTGCTACCATTGGTACTCGGTGCAACCCTGCCATTGGTTCTATGGCTCTTCCTGCGGTCGGTATTCGGTCCCTTGCGTCCATTGGTTATGTGGCTCCTACTGCCATTGATGTTCGGTCTGTTGTGTCCATTGGTTGTCTGGCTGCTGCTGCCATTGATGTTCAGTATGTTGTGTCCATTGGTTGTCTGGCTGCTGCTGCCATTGTTGTTCGGTATGTTGCGTCCATTGGTTCTCTGGCTCATGCTGCCATTGGTTTTCGGTCGCTTGCGTCGGTTCCTCTTCTTTCGCTTTTGTCCCACTCCCTGACGCCCCAGTACGTTTTTTACTTTTACTTTGGTTATTTGGAACGATTTCCTTACACGTCCTTGCATTATGAGCTGTGTTATGGCATCTACTACACCTTCTTATTTTTGGTTCCTCAGCTTGAGAGGGAATACGATTAGTGTTTTTTTGGTCTACCGGCTTGATTTATTTCCATCACAGGAGGGTTAACAACCATAAGGTCATCCGGAACCTCCCAATCACTAAGTTCTTAAAGAGGGTATACAGCCTACTCATACGTTCTTCGATATGTTTCAATTTTATAAGCATCTATAGCCATATGCCCACAGTGATCAATTTTCAAGTGCGTTAAAACCATTATCACATGACCACATGGTAAACCAGTTAGTTGCCAATATCTGCAAGAACAAGTCTTTTCCCTCAAATTCACTATGCCACCACTTTTGAAGTCGTGCACTTGATATGTTGTATTGTCCACACCGGATACCGACCATCCGTGAATCCCCTCTTTATTTTTTTTAACCATATATTCAGCCCACTTCATAAGTATTGTTGTACTTTTTCTGTTAAAACAAACATATATTATTATATATGACATTTGTCATATAATTTAAAAATAAACATAATCATACCTGCATCCATCCGCCCGTTTGTAAAACCATTTATGCATAAGTGCACGAAAGAACTCAAGAAGTGGTAATATAGGCAACTTCCTTGCTTTATTTGATACAACATTCATGGACTTCGCACTATTTGAGGTCATATAATCATACCTCATGATAGGGTAATACGCTCTAGTCCATTTCTCACGTGTAATTTGACTGAGATATGTCGCTACATCATCTCTTATATTACGAAGTCTCCCCCAATAGAATTCAAACTCAGTGGTTTTGTAAGCTCTTACCAGCTTCCAAAACAAAATTGCTGTTTTTTTGTTTTTTCCAAAGGTGTGGACTATGTTTCCTATTAGATGAAAAGCACACAATCCATGGTGAGCATTTGGAAAAACATTTTGAATACTTATTGCAATTGCGAGTGCCCTATCTGTGACCATTGTCATACCTTCCACATCACCAATGCATTCATACAGTTTTTCAAGAAACCATGTCCAAGACTCCGTAGTCTCTTTTGGGCAAATTCCATACCCAATAGGCAAGATATGATTGTTGCCATCCATGGCCACTGCATGCAAGATGGTGCCTTTGTACTTTCCCTTCAAATGAGCATCATCCATAATAATAACTTTTCTACAACACTCTCTGAAAGCACGTATCTGCAACAACAATATAAAAACCATTAATATATCAACAATATAATTTGTTTAGAAACATTTAAGAAAATAACAATATATAACCGCGCATCCAATAGCGAAAAAGCAATACTCAAAACGATCCTCCGAGTCAGTTTTTATGTACGCCACAGTACCAGGATTATGTTTCTTCAGATTGTGAAAATAAACTGGAAGTTTGGAGAAACTTTCTTGGGGGGTCCCCATCATCAATCCCAGAGCAAATTCTCTCACATGCCATGCTTGTGAATAACTCACATTTATTTGTATCAAAGCATTCATATCTCTAATTATATCTTTAGGCTTCCAAACTCTCAAACTTCCTTGACCCATAATGTCATGTATTATGGTTCCCACAACTTCTCTATTTGCTTGCCTATGATTTGGGTGTATAAGCAATGAAGAACATGTATGCTCGTCATTAAACGTCTTAATTTCAAACATTTCTGTTCCTTTAATGAGAGATGCGTATAAACGCCAATGACAGTTTTCTTGCATACAAACAACCTGGTACCGAGATTTTGAAGAATTTTCAACCTTTATCTGAAACTTTTCTCCAACAGCTTTCAATTTAACAGCAAACGCTGGCTCTTTTTTGGTGTTATAGGTTTGATTGACAATTAATTTATCATTCGGACCTAAACTGTGAAATGGTCCAGGTTCAAGAATAGGTTCTGGACAATCAGGAATAGAAGGGATACAATACCATGGATTAAAAGCAGTTTTTTGTTTCGTGTACTCATCATCTGACCACCCTTCATTTGATTTTTCCTCACATCTTTGATCATCAACTTCAGGAACTTCTCCAAACTCGAACAAATTATGACGTTGTAATTTAGTCATCGCCCACTTTAGCTTCTTTATCATTATCTGATACAAAAGTATCATTATCAGATACAAACTTATCAGTAACCGAATTTTTTTTTTCATAACCCACTGGCACTTCATTTCCTATTCCCCTTGAACGGTTTCCATCACATTGGTTTTCTCTACGACCTCTATTAGTTTTTGCTGAATTAAAGTGGTTGTTAACCACTGCTTGTTCTTCAGCTTCTTCACCTACCGCCGTTTAATACAAATGCACCGTCTTCTTTGATTTAGACATTACATGTCTCAATTGAAATACATCAGTTTCATCTTCAAGCTCCATGACATACCCTAACTCTGGGTGCTTAAAAGACAAACATATATGACTATTTAGCACACCTGCCTCACTTCTAACCATTTGTAATAACATTTCATGGTCAATGTTAGGAGGAAGATTTAAACCATAGTTTTTCACATTATTTCTAACGTAAACCTCATCTCCATTAACTAATTGCCAAGACCCTCCCGTACACAAAATAATAAAACTGATTTTACAAATCACTCTCCACAAACACAATGAAAAAACAACTTCTACTGGTAATTGAAACTCACAAACTCACAAAACCCCACTAAAATACGTCTATAACTCCTATAACTGATCCGCAGAGGTGTACACTGATCCGCAGAGGTGTATACTGATCCGCAGAGGTGTACACTGATCCGCAGATGTGTACACTGATCCGCAGATACACTGATCCGTAGAGGTGTACATTGATCCGCTGATAACAGTTCTGTGGATTTCCAAACAGTTCTGTGGACTGATATTAAACATAAGTTCATTATTTTTAACCTTTTTTGTCAAATTTTTTACATAAAACATAAGGTATTAGTGTATTAAAAAAAACTAATATTAATAAACGAAAAGAAAAAAATAGAAAAAACGAAAAAACGAAAAAATAAAAATTAAAAAACTCAAGATCCGCAGAGGTGTTTCGGTTCCTCAGAGGCAAACGTATTACATAAAGCATTTCATTATTTTTAACCTTTTTTTGTAGAATTTTTTACATAATAATTACATAAGGTATTAGTGTATTTAAAAAAAAATTATATTAATAAACGAAAAAGAACGCAAAAAAACGAAAAAACGAAAAAAAAAATTAAAAAATCAAAAAACAAAGATTCCGCAGAGCTGCAGAGGATCCGCGGAGCCTTCAATGAAGTTTATTTCAAAGTATGTTTATTATGAAGGTTGTATGTTTATGTTTTCTAAAGTATGTTTTGTAACCTACTTAATGGTATGTTTATTATGCAGAATACCGGTGTGTGTAATTTTATAAAAAACATAGAATATTTGTATAATTTTTATTAAACACACAACTTTTATAAACGGATAATTAAATAAGAAAAAGGAAAAACGAAAACAATTTTTTTTTACATAATAATCACATAATACCTTATGTGATTAAAAAAATATCAATAAACGAAAAAACGAAAAAAAAAATGAAAAAACCAAGATCCGCAGAGGTGTTCACATTCCACAGAGGTGTTTATGGTTCCGCAGAACCCCCTCTGCGGAACCTGTGGTCATTTTCTGAAATCTTCATTTTTTTGGTCATTTTCTTCAAAACCACCCTACATTTTGGTCATTTGCCGAATAAGCTCTAATTTAAATTAGTCAACATAGTCATATCATATACATAAGGCTGACGCCTTCTTCCCCCAGCGCACCAAAAACGATGGAAGACTTCAGTAGTTCAGTAGTTCAGTGCAGATGGTTCATCTATCTCCATCGAGTTCTTCCTTCCTGGCGACACCTTATCTCCAACAGAGGACCACCAATGACCACCACTTTTGCCATCTCCGATCGTCAGTAACTCGCTGGAGCTGTCCGTCCTTCGTCGGAAACGAAACAGACCACAACGTTGTGGCATCAGTACACTCTCTTCAAGAATTGTTGAAGACTAAGTGGAAACAAACGCCATCACCATTGCGGCGAAACGTTTATCAGATGACACATACCACCTTCGATCTGTTCTTCCTCGCTTATACTCGACTCTCCCTTTCTTTCTCTACTATCGATATGCTTTTTGGATCCAATAACTCACCGGAAAAGAAAAATGTGAGAGAACAAAATTAATGCACACCAAACGCACATATTGTCTATTATTCTTTTATGATTTTTTTTCTTTATATTGTGTTTTATTCAATCATGATTACAAATATATGAAAATATACAGTCATTTATAAATACAATGTCTCGATTCTAAAGTGATTTAATCATTTGCGAATATTTTTGTATCAATATAGATATATTAATTAATTCAATCCTAATATAACCTTTTCATATAGAACTAGTAGTTTATTTATTTTTATTAATTTATAAATGAAATTGTATGTTGATTTTTAATAAAAGTTTAAGAAAAAATTGTATTCTTTTAATAAAAAAAATCACTTAATTCCTTTTGTAGGTAATTGTGTGAATTTTAGGAAGTTATGATTAGATTTTAGTAGTTATATTTTATTTAAAATATATAAATATATATTTTTATATATTGATTGGAACATAATTATTTTCGTGTTCTCAACATTTTAATATTATCTCTCTCTCTCTCTCTCTCTCTCTATATATATTATATATATCTATATATATATATATATATTATATATATATATATATATACTAGAAATGTTATAGGCCCGTGTTAAGCACGGTCCACGAAGGATAACTTGAGTTTTTTTCTTGGTTGTTTAAGAATATTGTGCTAGTAACAAAAAAATTGGAAGTTCAATGCTATAAAAGGTAAATTTTCAACGTAAAATACTTGAATAAGATAAAGAATATGAAAATACAATGCTATAATATACAAACAAACGAAAGTATATTCCTATTTTAATTTGATCGTCAAAATCTGGAGAACTCTCACATGACACCCCGACAATGAATCCAAAGTCACATCAACATCAAACTTTAAAGGATACATCATAAATATGACCTTGCCATTCTAAAAACTCATGAACTATGCATATTTTCTAGTTATCTTCAGCTACCCTCATCACACTCTCCAA